TTCCTGCTGCTCAATAATTTTTGTTGCTTTCTTTCATCTATCGTTTTGCCCGTGGTCTGCTCAATCAGGTAATAACTTCTTCAGTTTAATTCAATTGCTTTATTCTGGAATATAATTTTGTAATGTTATGTTTGTTCATTATATGAAATGTTTTATACTGCACTTTATTTTTTTCCTTCTGTACTCTACTCTCGGTTACCTGTTTCTGTTCTAAGTTGATTACCTGATATTTTATGTTTGCAAACTTTCCTAAATCTTATTAAGATATAACGCGTATCTTTATCAAAAATTCAGTTTTTTAATTTTAAAATACCTTATTCTCTTTTGGTTATGATGATGTTATATTTAATTTGTTGTTAATATGTGCCGGGTAATTTTTACTGCAAATATGGTTGTCATTGATGTTGCCCTTATTATTTGGGATTTATGCCAATATATTTTAATTGGTCATTTGTTTTAGTTTTATTATATATATTTGTATTTATAAAATTTGCTTTTTGTCTACACTACTATTTTGTACATATCCATTTGTTTCTTCTGTTGTTTACTCTGTTTTTTTTCCATTGTATTTTGCATAATTTACTGTTACTCTTAATTTATTAACTGACATTTGATATTACCGCAGTGTTATAAAGTTTGTTACAACCGAATGCCTTTATTTACCAAAAACTTGGTTTCTTATATTTGAACATTTTTTTCCCTGGTTATGATGATGTTATACACCATTTGTTGTTAACATTTACTGGGTAATAGTTCTTACAGACATGCCTATCATTCATGTTCCCCTTACTATTTTAGAATTATGCCAATATATTTTATTTTTATAAAGCCTTTAATAACACGTGGCTGGTAACCATGTATGTTGCCGGATTTTGTTTCAACTACCTATGCTGTATAGTATTAATAGCAAACAGCTTTTGTTTCAATTACTTATTGCTAATCTAGGCTATACTGTTATGTCTTACTTATGGCATAAATTCCCTGATAATATTGCCGGTAGCCATCTATATTGCCATGTTTTGTTTAGATTACCCTTGGTATATATTTTTTGCAGTGCTTGAATATAACCTGAACCATTTGTATATACAGTTTCCTTAGTTATGGCATAAATTTCTTCATAACATGTGTGGCAGTTGTGTATATCACTATATGTCATATATATAATCTCATTTTGTATTTTTCTGTTTTCCTTACCTGTGGTAGACATTTTTCCTCTTCTAGCTCACTTTTGATCATTCCCTACTATTTATATTGCAGCTGCTAATATTTATTGCCTGTACCTGACTATTCTTAATTTCTGCTTCTTCACTCATTTACTGCTTTTTCTCCACCGTTGCTTACCATTTTGTACTTATACACCGGTCTGAGCTTTGTTTCAAAATATTATCTTTGTTTATGCAAAAATTTGTTCCTTATATTCAAAAAATTAATTCTCACACTGTTTTTTTCCTTTTCTTCTTACCATGTACCCAGAAATAAGCTACAAGTTTGTTTGAGGAAACATTACAAGAGGAAATCCAAAAATTCCCTTGCAGGGCTATGAAATAACTCTTATGTCCAAATTTATGATGTAATTGAGATATAAATTTGTATATAAATTTTTGGTCTTATTATGTTATAATTATTTTCAGGGAGCAATAATAGCTTCCCTTCTTT